TTATAATATAGTCATCCACCGTATATGAGCTGTTCTGCAATCTGATTGGTTGAATTACTCGCCGTATATCAGCTCATATACGGCGAGTAGCGAAAAACAAGATGGCGGTCCAAAAACTACATGAGTTTTGCGAAGCAGAAAAAGGAAAATATTCGCTTTGAAAAACATAATAGTACAAGAAAAAACTCTCAAAAAAAATTTGACAGGTTAGCAAAATACATTTATTACGTAGAAATTAGTTTAAATACAAGTTTTTTAAAGAATTAATACCGAAACAACAGCGAAAAAACATGTTCATTGAGAATATAAATTGTTCAGAAAAGTTTGCAATGAATGACAAATGAATTTGCAGTCAACAAGCACTTACTATAGTACCAAGCATCTGTATAATATATCTGAGCTTTCCTGTGAGGTATATAGAGGTTCTAAAACCATTTCTTTCACTTCGTCTTCGAGTTGTAAAACAAAAGTATTTCAAGTTTTCAAGCGGTTTTTGGCCGAAAAAATTGTCAACACATTGTAACAGTGAATAATTAATTACTGCTTCAGTTAATGGCTATATTAGACTATATTATAAAACAATTATACCATTCGCTCTCGTCGTATATTGCTGATAGCCGACTCGGTGCTACGCACCTCGTCGGCTATCAGCTCATATACGAGTCGAGCTCATGGTATAATTGTTAAATATATATATATTATATATATATATATATATATATATATATATATATATATATATATATATATATATATATATATATTTGTATTACGCGCGGTAAAAATAACCACTTTCGGCTCAAAAATGGTTATTTTTCCCGCGCGTAATGCACTTAAATATATACAAAATTTGCGAACTTCACAGGGCTATATATATTTTCCTCATTTTACAACAATTGTCAACCAAACTTTGCAATTTTACTCATTTTAAGATGCTCTTTCCAGTTATCTTTCCAGCAAGTTCTTCTTGTCCAGATCAAAATTTCGTCTATAGCTGGAATCATCCATTTCACCCCAACTCTGCAACTGCGATCCTGCATCCCCTCCCTCGTTTTCTACCAAACCCTGCTAGGCAGGCTATAATATGTAGTAACTAATTACGCTTATGCATTCACGAAGCTAACATTAATCTATCTTTATTTTCAAGAGGCAAGTTCGAGATTTTCTTTCCCAATTACAATGCTCATCTTTTCCTTTCCTTCTTGTGGCATTTCAAATTTTTGTACATCCTCCAGTGTCTCCGGCAGTTTCACATTCAAAGTTTCTGGTAGCAAAAGGGCAAGTGCACCGCACATCAGAATCATCCCACCAAATATAATAAAAGGTACGGCCTCACCTGTGTATTCGCCCTATGGAAAAAATATTATTAAATTCCTGCAGTGCTGCATGTAACACGAAATATGATGCCATGATCGTTATATATGATAGGTTTGTCCGTCTAATTTATACTGTTACATCATATCCGATAACAGATAATGAAATGTGCGTTTTAATACAAAAATATATTACCAAAACCATGGATGTTTAATTGAAGCCTCCTCGCCCCCAAAAAAGGTTTCATGTTTTTATCTCAAAACGTCCAGGAATGCAACTACACTCCTAACATCTGATTAGTCCACCAAAATTACGCTTGGGAGCAAATTTGATCAAAGTGTGTGAATTTTGTCTCATAATTTAACATCACGACTGACGAGTATTGTTAATCCTTAATTATGTACTTTCCTTTGCTAATTTGGATCGAGTTTATGCTAATTAATTAATGAAAAAAGTCGCCTCATGTAAGGTAATCCACGAATCCAGAATCCAACTTTTAATAATTTTGCATTCCGGAATCCAGACAGTGGAATCCAGAATCTAAACATCGGAGGAATCCGGAATCCAAGTAGCGGAATCCGGAATCCAAGGAGCAGAATCCGGAATCCAAGGAGCGCATGGATGGTATTACATGGGGCGAAAAAAGAATAGATTAACCATTTTTGCGCAGCTAGGGACCCTTAACACTCCTAAGCTTTTGACACGTTAGTAACATACCAGTAACAAAATTTGTGGTGCTACAATGCCGCCAATTCTTGCCAAGAATGACCCTGCTCCATAACCTACGTTCCTACAGTAAGAATTGTATAAAACATAATACGACCTTCCTATCTCAAACTGAGAGTGATAATGAAATGATATTTATTTAATACTTAATTTATTTAATGAGGGTGATTATTGATTGAATACATACCGCATCGTAGTAGGATAAAATTCAGAAGTATAGATATAAATGTTCGCAAAATTTCCAGTCAGGAACATTCTTCCTACTATCGCAAAGACAGTCACAAGGGTCTGGATACTTTCTGTAACAAGATGGATGTACAAATGGCGAATACTAATCTCACGAGAACAGGGAGAACAGGTCCTAGTTCTGGATGGCTGAAACTTAGCTTTTTATACTGCTATTTTCGCCTTCGACTTTGCCAAGAACAGTACGTGTTAAGTGGTTAAGGGCAGTAAAGAGATTAGAAGAAAGTGTGTAGTGGTCTATAGAGACTACAGACTGTAGAGATAATGCGGAAAACAAGGCTGAGAGATGATATATGGAAGTAAAATAAGAGAAGATAAAAGATGGTCGATCAGACATGGAATGAAGAGATCAGAAGACGTAAGATGGTGGACGTTGTACGGAAAGTGAGAGAAAAAAGGCTGAGATGGTATAGACACGTAATAAAAAGGCATGTAATAAAGTTGGTTTATTCTGTAAAAGAATATCTACAGTGTAATCAACAATAAACTGATGGTAGAAATGACAAGGGACAGGACGAGATGAAGAAAAGAGTCGGAGCTATCGACCTTGCATGGGTCAATCTTTGATCAGAGCTGAAAGATCTAAGGTGAAAATTATTAGGGTCGGAAAGCAATGGAGAAGAACCCGACCATACTAAGAAAATGATTGCGGAAATAACAAAGGATGGAAAAGAATGGAGGAAACGAATCCCAATCTGGGACTAAAACTGGCTTGAAAAAGAAATAAACTATCATCTGTGAAAAAGTAAAGGAAATATTATAATATCTTACTGTTAGGTAAAAGAGGATCTAAATATCAAGGAACTGATGTGGAGGAAAAGAATCCGCGCAGCAGACCTCGGGTCAGTCTGGGATTATTGCCGGGTAAACGAAAATCTACATAGTAAGTACTGATGTTGGAAATGGCAGTCTGGAACTAAAGCTGGTGTAAAGACGAAATAAACTATAAACAGTCATCTGTGAATAAGTCAAGGTAACATCAAATATCTTACTGTTCGACTTTGGCAATGCTCCTGCAATAATAAGAGCCGTTCCACCGATAAAATAATAAACACACAATGGCCTGCGTCGTCCAAACCTAGATGAAATATAATAAACCATTACTTTCCATGCTTCACAAACAGTCAGCCATACAGGCTGCATGTAAAAGGAAACCATCTTTTATGCTTAATAATTTAAAAGCTATATTAATTCTTATGAAGTGAATTTGGTCTTGTTTCAAAGCTTTTTCTTTCTAACAAGTACTCACTTGTGTCTTTAGTGCAAGAAGTAATTTTACAGGCGGAAATTAATTTAAGTCCAGAATTTTGCCGTTGTAGTATATCCAGAGAATATATAGAGATATTGGAAACTTCCCGTAATAGAAAGGTGTCCGTAACAGAGAGGTGTTTTTATTAAAGGTGTTCGTATTAGAGAAGACAGAGAAGTGTCGGTATTAGAGAGATGTCCGCGTATTAGAAAGTTGTGTGTGTGTTAGAGGGGTTTCTGTATTAGAGAGGAGTCCGTATTAGTGAGGTTTCCGTTTAAGAGATGTGTCCGTATTAGAAAGGTGTTCATATTACAGAGGTGTCCGTATTTAGAGGTTCCTGTATTAGAGAGGTGTTTGTATTAGAGACGTGTCTGTATTAGAGAGGTGCTTGTATTAGAGAGGTGTTTGTATTAGAGAGGACACCGTATTAATGAGGTTTCTGTACGGAGATGCTTGACTGTATTCTTCAATATACCACTCAATACACCTGTTTAGGACAAACATGGTTGCAGTAATGATGATAATTTCCAATGCTCCACTGATGAAGAAGTTTAAGTATTTATTTCCGGCAAGACTTGCGATGTTCAATGTCAGTCCATAGTAACCCATGGATGTCGAAAACCTGAAAGGTTACGAAATGGTTATGTGTGTATAGTGGATATACAGCGGTCATTAAATTCATGCTGGGTAGTTCTGTCAGTTCTAAACATTTTCCCTAGAGATCGAGAAATGACTTATTGATCCAGTGTTAATGCTGTAGAATTAATATCTGCGATGTTTGTTAGAGTAAAACCAACGGATTTTATATTCAAAGATTAAACAAATAATCTTAAAAGAAACCCAAACTAGCATCGAAATGTTGTTTTTGTGTTTTAATAAACGCTTAGAAGTTTCAGACTGCGATTTAACTGTATTTTACGAGAGTACAAACGAAAAAAACTTGTTTGAACCAATACTGAATGTAAGCATGCAATCTGTACGCGAGGAAGCTCTTAAATGCGGCATAACAACAATCTTCCATGTACCAACGATTAATATGGTCTCTTCTGCTGGTCCTTGTTACTATTCTAGCTGCAGTGTTCTGAACATGTTGGAGTTTCTTGGTCTCAGTTGATGATTCTTCATGATATCACCTTAATCACGAGTTTCTTGATCATCAGGAGTTTCTTCATCTGGGTTGAAGTCCTTGATCTTAATTGGAGTTTCTTTATTTCATTTGGAGTTTCTTGATCTCGACCTGATCAGGAGTTTCTTGATCTCAGTTGGAGTTTCTTTATCTCAGGTGAAGTTTCGTGATCTCAGTTGGAGTTTCTTGATCTCGACCTGATCAGGAGTTTCTTGATTTCACCTTAATCAGGAGTTTCTTGGTCATGAGGTGTGTATTGATCCCAGTTGGAGTTTCTCGAACTTAGTTGGACTTTTTTGATATCACCTTTCTTGATATCACGAGTTGTTTTTTTTATCTCAGTCACAATTTCTTGATCTCATATTAATTAATCAGGACTTTTTTTTAATCTCAGTTACAGTTTCTTTATCTCAACTTAGAGGAATGTCTTGGTTTCACTGATAAATCTTAATCGGGAGTTTAACTTTACCCAGATCTATACCTGACCTATACTGTGCCAGTCAGTACTTACCAAATAACCATCATAATCAAAGATCGTTTCCTCAACACACTTGATCTAAAAATATCAACAATTGTATAACTCTTGATATCAGACCTATTCACCTCCGTCTTCTGAACATTAATTTCATTAACCGTTTTATCAAATATCTCTTGCGGGAAAGGAATCTTGTTGAAAGTACTGATGTTTCTGACGACTGTCTCTGCCTGGTCAACACGATTATTGATCAGAAGCCAACGAATGGATTCGGGGAAGCACCTATACAGGAGAAAAAATCATTTAAATACAGATTTAGCCTCCTCCGCAGGTATCTCTATGGGTTATACCCGGCGAATGGGTGTTGAAATAAAAAAAATTAACAGAAAATAGGTAAAGCTTTCTACAGAGAGCGAGTTCTACTCTCTCGTGTATTGGTAAACAAGTTTTCCTGATAAGTTTCCCTTGCACAAGTTTTGTTGTTGGTGTGCACGGAATGTTGTTAAACAATTATCTCACGTCCAGGCCGCCTTTTGTCTGCCAAAGCCATTATGATATCACTAGCTTTGGAATAAGGCTCCTTGGCATGGGAAAATTGTCATTGTTTTGCCGTACACACGAGCAAATAAAATTTGTCAAGGAAATATTTCCAGTCTTTACGGGGCGGGGCCTAAGTGATGCACAGCAAAAAATCATTTTCTTATTTTAAGAAAAAAAAAACTTGTTTTAAGAAAATTTTCTGATTAGTATGTAATATACTGTAGTTTGTGTAGAAAATAAACAATATATAACTGATTGTATTGCTGTCTGCACGGCTGCATGCAAATGCATCAGAACGCAAAACCACGCTGTGGCATATTAGTACATTTAAAACGCAGAATACGCCACCTGTCGTATATATTATAGGCCTAGTATATGTGCGTGGAACGCATATTATAGGTTTGATATATTATATTTGGTTCAGTAAAAGTGCTCGTATAACAATACTGCCAAGAAGACACGTAGACGTCGTTATAGCCTTATCCAAAGCGGTTACCTGATCTTAATATGGTATTTTTTGTGATTTTTTAACCCTCGACTTTTTTAATTCTCGACTTTTTACCCTCGACTTTTTTAACCCTCGACTTTTTACCCTCGATTTTTTACCCTCGCCCTCGACTTTTTACCCTCGCCCTCGACATTTAACCCTCGACCCTCGACACTCGACCAATAGATAAACTCGCTCCCGGCGCCAGAGTCTATCAACGCGCGGCATGTTAAACCATTTACTTTAATCACAACTACAGGAAATATGCCCTCACCACTGCCACCATCTGTCATCAACTTCTTATCACCGGACGCATGTTTAGCTTGATCACAAATGGATGAGTGATGACGTTTGCCGCATTGGCTGCAGGCAGATTTACTTGTACAATCAGCAGCGCGATGGGGTTTCGTTGCGCAATTAAAACAAAGACCCTTTCTTGCCAGTATTTTCTTTCTTTCGCCTACATCACTGATTTTTTCGCATTGGACGGCTTTATGGCTCAAATCGCCGCAGTAAACACATCCCCTGGGCACAAATCGCTGATTTTGAGAATGGAAGAGTTTTCTTGCATTGTTCTCCTCCCGTTCCCCTCCAGAGCTAGTTACGGGGTTTCTCTTTGCCCATGATTCACGGCATCAGTTAGTTTGATAAAATCCCATGCATCCCACTCAGGGTTGTTGCGCACCAAATCCCCCCGAATTCCCGATAGTTTATCAAGGGTCATTGATACGTTCCCGTTAACATTACTAAGTTTGCCCATCGTCTCGAGCGCTTGAACTGAATGCGTAAGTTTATCACAAAAGTTAGCGATCTTACGGGGATTGGCTCCCAGAATGTTTGGTAAATCCAAAATTTCCTTCACATAGCATTTCTCTATTTCTGACTCTTTGCCGTATTTATCTTTCAAAATTACTTTTGCTCTATTATACCCCTCAGGGCTAAATGGAAGAGATTCGACACCGCGTTTTACGTTTGGTTCAAGCAGCTCTAACAGATACGTAAACTTCTTGGCGCTAACAAACTTTTGTCAATCGCTTCAGTGAATTGTCCCCAGAACTTTGGCCAGTCAGTAAAAGAGCCACCAAACTTTGCGATAACGAGTTTGGGTAATTTTGCAGTTCCAGCTGAAAATACTTCGGATTCTTTACATTCCTTTTGATGTTTGGGGGATGAAGACGAGGCAGAAGACAGTTCGGCTTGCATTTCCATTCTCTTTTCATGCAGTATCATTTCATGCTTTAACTCTTCCTCGTGCGTCACAAACTTTTCGGCCTTTTTAGCCTCAGCAAGAAAATGTTCTAGGTTTTGAATAGCCGCGTCAGCGGGCTCAAACTTTAAATCTAAGTCATCGTTCCATTTTTTGATTTCTGAAAGCTCTTCTTTGTTTGTGATTTTAAATGCCTCAACAGTGCGTCTGCACTCATTGGCCTCGTTGGCCGTTGTTTGTAACGCGTCGAGGTGTCGCTTAATTGCTACTCGCTTACCTGGAGCTCAGCAATGTTTTTGACTTTTCTGTTGCGATTTCCAGCTGCGTAATTAGCTTCGTTTCGAGATTTGTCAACTCTTTCCCGTCCATATTCATATCACAGATTCAGTAGAATCCCGTTCAGGAGGTGCCACTATGTCGAGAATTCGCCTCCAAAATGTAGTCCTCGACAAGTCACAAATGTTCGAAGTAACAAAAATGTATATTCAAACAAAACATAAAATTTACCAAAGATATATAACAAAATTAAAAGGTTCACAATGGTCACGATTACGTATAGATAGATAGCGCACGGGCTATTATCTCTCTTTCACAATACAATTTCTCTCTCACTCACTGTCACAGTCCAACTACGATTGTTCAAACTAACTCTCTGCTCTCTTTCGTGACTATTTCACTCACACCCTCACTTTGACACCTAATCATTCCTACGTCATGCACTAATAATCAATTAAAATAATAATCTTATCTGTCAGTTCCCGACAGTCAATGGCTCAAACGGCTACTACTAAAAAGCGATACAGCGATACAACGATACAGCGATACAGGAACCGGAACCTGGAACCGGAACCCGGAACCGTGCATAATTTATGCAAATTGCACCACAGGAGATATACATAATAATAATTTACAGGGGGGGGGGGCGGCGCAATTCAATGATAATATACAATATTATTGTAGCACTAAATATTACGAAGTAAAACATGTTTCGTAATTGCGCGGCCATTCTTCTTGTCTGTTTTGATATGACTGCATGTCACGCACTTAGTTTATTTAGCCGCCGCACTTGATTATGAAATGCCAGCAGACAGAGAAGGAAACCACGGCACGCAAAGCAGATTGCGCTGAATTCACTAGCAATTCTGCCCTAAAATAATTCGAGTGTAGTGTAGTGTATGACGCAATCCAACTTGTCTTGAATGTGCTATATACGTTGCCGCCGGAATACGCGAATATTGCGAATATGCTTATTTGCTGCATACTACTGAAAAATATCCGCTTGACTGACATCGATCACAAACATGAATGAAGTTATGAAGGTAACTTCAATGTCAAAAATACATTTAATGAATTAATGATGAAAAATTGAAATATCTGATTGAAATTCAGCGTCGAAATTCACTTAGCCGTGTCTCTTACCCTATATAATATATAGTACTATCAAGTACCGTTTCCGACATTATAAAAGCAATATCTGACATTGAAGCTGTTAACTTGAAGCGACTTGACATGGCCATGCCAATGTATTTTTTTACATTGAAGTTACCTTCTGACATATAAACTTCATTTATGTTTGTGATTCAGTGATGCGGTTCAGGCGGATAATTTTAGCATGCAGCATATTTATGTTATTTATATATATTCGCAATATTCGCAGTGTATATATAGCATATTCAATGTTGGATTGCATCTTACACTACACTACAAATTAATTTAGTGCACAATTGCTGCTGAATCCAGCGCAATCTGCTTTGCGTGCCGTGGTTTCCTTCTCTGTCTGCTGGCATTTCATAATCAAGTGCGGCGGCTAAATAAACTAAGTGCGTCACATGCAGTCATATCAAAACAGACAAGAAGAATGGCCGCGCAATTACGAAGCATGTTTTACTGTGTAGTGCTACAACGATGTTCATCTTTGTTTTGTTTAAAAATCAAAATGCCTTGCATATAATATTGTATTTTATCATTGAATTGCGCCCTCCCCCCGCCCTGTAAATTATTATTATGTATATCTCCTGTGGTGCAAAATGCTCTAATTCGCATAAATTATGCACGGTTCCAGGTTCCGGTTCCAGGTTCCGGTTCCTGTAACGTTGTATCGCTGTATCGCTTTTTAGTAGTAGCCG